TCGATCTAATGGACGAAGGCACTGATGCTCGGGAGATCCTGGAGAACAAACTCCTGCCGCTTCGACGAGGCTACATTGGCGTTGTCAATCGGTCGCAACGCGACATTGAGGGTCGCAAGGACATCAAAGTTGCCCTTGAATCGGAGCGAAAGTTCTTCATTTCTCATTCTGGCTATCGCCACATGGCTGATCGAATGGGAACACCGCACCTGCAGCAAGTTCTCAATCAACAACTCACCGATCATATTCGCGACACACTGCCTACTTTGCGAGACAAGCTGCAGAAGCAGTTGTTGTTGTTGGAGGAGGAGGTAATTTTTACAGAAACAGTTTAACTGAACATTTTTAATGACTGAATGTTTAAACATATTTAGGTTGATGAATACAAAAACTTTCAACCCGATGATTTGCAACTCAAAAACAAAGCCATGCTGCAAATGGTTCAACAGTTGGACAGCAATTTTAAAGAAAGTTTTGCTGGTCTTGGATCTACCCAAGTCAGTACTTCTGAACTGTCTGGAGGTGCGCGCATCAACCGACTCTTCCACGAGCGTTTCCCATTTGAAATTGTTCAAGTGGAGATTAATGAGAAGGAACTTCGCAGTGAGATCGCCTTTGCCATTCGTAATATTCACGGTATTCGAGTCGGTCTTTTTACACCTGATTTAGCGTTTGAGCTAATCGTTAAAAAGCAGATTGAAAAGCTGCGCGAACCCTCCATCAAGTGCGTCGACCTGGTCACCGGCGAAGTGTTCGACGTTGTCCGTCGTTGCACACTAAAGATGGCTCGCTACCCTCGGCTGCGGAAAGAGTGCGAGCGCATCATCATGTCACACGTGAGAGAGCAGGCGAGAAAAGCCAAAGAACAGATCATGATGCTCTGTGATGCAGAGGTGGCCTACATGAACACTAATCATGAAGACTTTATTGGCTTCTCCAATGTCCAGCAGTCTGCTGACAGCACGCAGAAGTGGAAGCTAGGCAACCAGGTAGGTGTTATGCATATTCTAAATGTTGATACACTCTATTTTTCTTCTATTCTTTTGTCGTTGGATTGCTCTATATGCTGCGTTCCAACAACTCAAAACTGTGGTTATATTTTTAGCTTTTTACTCTAATGATGAACTACGCGCACATAACAACTTTTTTCGAATTTTTGGTTTTCTTTTCTAGTCAATAGCNTCTATTCTTTTGCCGTTGGATTGCTCTATGTGCTGCATTCCAACAACTCAACACTGTGGTTATATTTTTAGCTTTTTACTCTAATGATGAACTACGCGCACATAACAACTTTTTTCGAATTTTTGGTTTTCTTTTCTAGTCAATAGCTTTTTTAGCANCTTCTATTCTTTTGTCGTTGGATTGCTCTATATGCTGCGTTCCAACAACTCAAAACTGTGGTTATATTTTTAGCTTTTTACTCTAATGATGAACTACGCGCACATAACAACTTTTTTCGAATTTTTGGTTTTCTTTTCTAGTCAATAGCTTTTTTAGCAAAATCTTGAATCACGCTGATGCATTTTTAACAAAACAAATAATATTATAAAAATGAATAATATGTTAAATGATAGATGACAAAATTATCTAGAAGTTGTCTGGCTCAGATTTTTAAATTTAAACTTTGTTGTATTTTTTAAAATTGTGACCATTGACTAACTTTTCGTTTACTCTTATTGTAGATCATTCGCAAGGGCTACATGTGCATTCACTTCGGTATGTTGAAAGGCGGCTCTCGCTATTACTGGTTCGTTTTGACGAGCGAGTCTCTGTCCTGGTTTAAGAATGAGGAGGAGAAGGACAAAAAGTACATGCTTTCGTTGGATGGTCTCAAAATTAAGGTGCGCTTAATCTAGAAAAACGAGTTTCAAGTTTTCAACTTACAAACTTTGCATTTTTGCAGGATATAGAACCTAGCTTCATGTCTCGTCGACACTTGTTTGCAATTTTCAATCCTGATCAAAGAAACGTCTATAAGGATTACAAGCAACTCGAGTTGTCGTGCGAATCACAGGAGGACGTTGACTTGTGGAAGGCCTCCTTCTCGCGAGTTGGTGTGTACCCGGAGCAAAGCAACAACACCGACATTTTNAGAAAAACGAGTTTCAAGTTTTCAACTTACAAACTTTGCATTTTTGCAGGATATAGAACCTAGCTTCATGTCTCGTCGACACTTGTTTGCAATTTTCAATCCTGATCAAAGAAACGTCTATAAGGATTACAAGCAACTCGAGTTGTCGTGCGAATCACAGGAGGACGTTGACTTGTGGAAGGCCTCCTTCTCGCGAGTTGGTGTGTACCCGGAGCAAAGCAACAACACCGACATTTTAAGTGGTGGTAATGAAGATGAAGGCTTCGACGCCGGTGTATCTAGTCTTGATCCTCAGCTGGAGCGACAGGTGGAGACCATTCGCAACTTGGTTGATTCCTACATGAAGATTGTCACAAAGACATATCGGTATAAACTTGGTTTCGTTAAGCAATTTTTTACTAATAATGGTGACTTCTTTTTACAGAGATCTTGTTCAAAAAATAGTCATGAATACAATGATTAACAGTTCTAAAGAATTTGTTTATGGCAATTTTTTGCTTCAGCTGTATGCTGTTGACAATCAGGTATATTCAAAACTCTAAACTACCCGACAGTATACTGATGAAATTTAATTTTACCAGCACGAAATGATGGAGGAGTCTCCCGAAGAGGAGGGAAAGAGAAAGGAGATGCTGCGAATGTATCACGCCTGTAAAGAGGCACTCTCCATCATCGGCGACGTTTCCATGCAAACGAGCTACCAGCCAGCTCCACTCCAATCCAGTCCAATCAAGGACGACTGGCAGTTTCGCAACTCTGCTCCATCGCCCACTCCAATGACTAGCAACTCGATGGCCAGCAAGCCACTTCCGTCGTCAAACATTTCCAATAGTCGGCCAGTGCCGCCACCGGCTTCCGATAAAAATTGCGGCGCCCCACCTCCTTCAAGTCACTTGTTTGAGAAAGAGATGGCCCAGTTTATGAAAAGCTTTGATCGGGTCGACACTCCTCTGATTCCAACGTGAGTCTTTTTTTTGTTCAACATCTTGTGCACATGTTAGTTTTGTTTTAACTGATGTGAACAGTCTGCTTATCATACTAACCATATTAACTGACACTCCATCGTTTCTCTCTCTCTCTCTCTCTCTCTCTCTCTCTCTCTCTCTCTCTC